AGATCTAGTGCTGTTCAAATACGCATGTGCACTAGAGTGTGAAAGATCAGTTGCTTTAATCGGATTTGAATTCCTAACAAATCCTCATTGTCCCAATTGGTTAATTTTGTGATTAGCTGTTGTATTCCGTCTAGCCTGATATATAAACACTATCACTGATCGTACAAATTGTGTAGCTTGTACGTCAGATCAGGGTGTTGGAGTGGGGTAGGCATTTTAAGATATGTTTTTTTTTTTTATTGTTAGATCTTTTTGTTTTTATCTCCGGGTAAATATCATATGACTGTAGAAGTACCTACTCCAATAGTAATCTAATTTCGCTATAGATAACACTGTATCAGTGGAATTCAAAATGTTATCGTCTCCAGAAACATAGGCCTGCTGAATAATTCCTTAATTAATTCAGACACTTGATACTTATATAGACAAAGGAAGGATATCTAAAAAGGCACATTTCGTTACACTGGCGTTGATCTTGGCATGGAGGATGAAGCTTCTTTCCTCCATGGTCTGGGGAAAACTTGTGATGAAGGAGTCCCAACTGCATGTTTATTATCACAAGGCGTGAAGATGAGAGGCCGGCGCCATGCTAGGAAATTATAAAAGCAACGAAAGGGAAATTAAATCAGCCTTGCCAATTAATAGGATATATGATAACAGAAACACAATTTTAACTAATGATTTTATGGTTGATAAAACTTTCCGAAGTAGTCCTACTGGACATCGTCCATATGTTATTCCATTTAATACTCTCATAATATATTGTAAGAGTTTTATATACTAAACGTCGAATATTTATGCCTACAACATAATATTATGGGATGTTTTGTTTACAGTATCTTGAAATAATTATTCTATCCCCGTTTTCGGTTTGTTAAGTCCTGAGTATTAACTTTTCCAAAAAAAAAATTGTGCTGCATTATTGTTTCTAATACATGTTGTGTGTGTGGAGGGTGTGGAAACAAAACTATTCAATTAAACATTGAATATTTTTTTTAGAAGTATGATATAAATTATCAGCGTTGGCACTATTAAAATGGGCTATTTCAATTTTAGTTGATTAATATAATTTTACTCTAATTACAAAATATATTGAATAACACAATCCAGAGTGTTAATCAAACTTAACAAAGCAGCGCTGAGAATACGCGTGCATCTCACAAACACGTGTTATGTCCCACAAACGAACAAACACTGGTCAGGTTCACACGACAAGAGCCATAGTATCCGTTAGTACCCGTGTGAGACCGCCCGATCGGTACCAGGATCCGGACACGCTAACGGTTAGCGAGCACTCTCGGTTGGCAAGTTGAGCGCATTTCTATCATTAACCAATCACATGTACGCATTTCCAGTTTCCTGTTGGCCAGTGATCCGATCATCATCTTCTTGGTATGTGGATCAGGGATTTTCTTGTATGAACGCACGGCGGGTGAGTGGAAAGGCCCATTGATTCAAGCCAATCTGATCAATGCAACCATAGTAACAGTGATATTTATGTTTCTGACATTTGCGATGAAAATGTTTTTCTCGTAATTTCTTTTATAATTTCAAGCTAGCTTAGATATAGGCCTACAACATAAGCAATTTAAATAGTGAATGATTTGTTTTCGTCTCAACAGTCACGCTTAAAAAAAACTAAAAAAAAAAACTAATAGAATAACAAGGACGATTCAATCAGTTATTACTTATGATATAAACAGGTAATAAAATAAAGAGGAAATGACATAAACGGTATTTTTTATTTAACTAAAACAGGAATTTAATCATGTTAAACTTTTCGTCTAGCAGATGGGAGAGACAGGGTAATTATTTTTATTATTATTATTATTATTATTTTAATTTTTAATGCACTTGAAGTATGGAACGCCAAAAGGACAAATTACAAGTGGCGCAGTGCAAAAGTCAGTCACAGTGCAAAAGTCAAGTGGCACAGTGCAAAACTAAAGTGGCGCAGTGCAAAACTAATATGGTGGCACACGCATTTTGAGTTTGCACTGCACCACTTGACTTTTGTACGGTGCCGCTTGACTTTTGGCGATACTGTATGGAATGCCAATTTGGCATTAAAATAGAAATTAACTAATTTTTACTAGGTAGGCCTATATTATTATTATTATTATTATTATTATTATTATTATTATTATTATTATTATTATTATTATTCATATCCCCCAATAGGGAACCTCGGCCCCCGTCGGGCAAATTCTTGTGCCACCCCTCAAACTATATTTAGTTAAAGATAAACTAAAACAATAATTACATACACATTGGTAAAAGTATAGTGTAGCCCAAGAGAATGAATTTTTCTTTCTTTTATTGAATGTTCTTCTGGAAATTAAATCCCGCTTTAGTAATATGTTCCATCTCCTTTTTAAATCACCATTTACACATGTAATTAATTAGGATCCTATTCCTCAATCATCTACATCAACAATTGGATACTGAAATACACAGGTTTAATATTTAATACTAATGAATTTAAATGAGGATGTGATATTATGAGTGTTGGCACAGTATAGTCTTGTGTCCATTCACCTTGGTCATTAAATGTCTATGTCTATAGAATAAACTTGATATTTTTGATGACGGAATACCGTACGTCTCGTATTTTTTCTGTATTCTTATTTTTATTTATTTATTTATTGCCATTTTTCTGCTGTTTTGATAGGCCTACCTTTAAACCCACACGCAACCGCCTTGTTGCTGCTATGTATTTTTGTTGTGAAGAACATTGAAGTTTGAATAAATATAGCTCAAATAATAAAGTGTTATTCGTATAACTAAAAAACGGACACACAAAGTATATCGTTGCAGCAAAGTGTCACTGCACTGTGAGCCTAAATCAAGCCTGTTTATGTTTTCAACTTCTTTGGATTCATATTGGGCTTCTTTTTCTATTAAAATAATGTTACATTCGATTTATTTTTCTATCAATATTCATTTTAGGGCCTCTACTTGTTTTCTCTACATGGCTTATCCTATTAATCAGGGTTGTTTTTTGCACTTTTGCCTTTCTTGTCTTGTTTTAATATAAGTGAGCCTACACACTGCAATGCAGTCCAAATAAAGCTGAGGATATTTAAAAAAGAATGGAATCACCAGCCTTCATGAATTTTGTAGGCATAGGGTGGAGGTAGGCACAGAATTATGTGTTCTTGATATTTTTATTCATTTATTTTATTTAGTTTAATTTTGATGCCAAAATTGGCGTTCCATACAATATCGCCTAAAGTAAAGTGGCGCAGTGCAAAAGTCAAGTGGTGCATTGCAAAAGTCAAGTGACACAGTGCAAAACTAAAGTGGCACAGTGCAAAACTAAAGTGGCGCAGTGCAAAACTAAAGTGGCGCAGTGCAAAACTAAAGTGGCGCAGTGCAAAATTCAAGTAGCAGCACACGCATTTGGAATTGCACTGCACCACTTTCGTTTTGCACTGCGCCATTTTAGTTTTGCACTGTGCCACTTTAGTTTTGCACTGTGCCACTTTAGTTTTGCACTGCGCCACTTTAGTTTTGTACTGTGCCACTTTAGTTTTGCACTGTGTCACTTGACTTTTGCACTACGCCACATGTAATTTGTC